TGTCTGTCTGTCTGTCTGTCTGTCTGTCTGCCTGTGTGTGTGTGTGTGTGTGTGTCTGTGTGCGTGTGTGGCAATGGTGGGTTTCAAAGAATTTTTGGAACCTCTTCTGTAGGTGAGGCCTGCTTTCCAGGTCCACTGGTGGAACCTCTTCTAACCGGTTCGGTAGATTTGACGAACCGGTTCTACCAAATAGGTGCGAACTGGTAGGAACCCACCTCTGTCACATACTGAAAGAAACTACTGACAAAACAAATCCGTTGAGTTTTGAATATAAAACCAAGCTGAAGCCATTACTCTTCTTAGCTCAATTCTAAATAATATGCAATAGAATTTTAAGAACTGCCAGTTAGAACTGCTTTCTAACCTTAGCTAGCGGTTACAATAATTTTTTTTATGTCATTCACAGCCTTACTAAATAAATATTTTATTACTAGATCTAAGATAATACTAGGTATAGAGGAAGTAATTCTCTTCACACTTTAGGTGGTAAAACATTAACAAACAAACTTAATATGTGAAGTCCTACAGCTTGGGGAGAAAAAACTTAAAGGCGTAAGAACAGGATTGGAAAAACTGGTTTGGCAGTAGTATATGTGAACAAGATCCGGGTGTTCGAGTTGAACATGAGCCAATAGCATGACCCAACTGCTAAAAAGCAAATGCTATTTAGCGGTTTACTAACATAAGATCATGGAAAATAACTATCTCATTCTACATTTACAATACTACCTTCAGTTCTGCACATCGCAATCACAAAGAACAAGACAAACTAGAATGACTTCAGAAGTAGCCTACCGTATACATAAGTCAGTTTATGAGCACAATTGAGCCCCAATATGTTGCTAAGTGAGACATTTGTTACGTGAATTTTGCTCCATTTTACAACCTTTCTTGCCACATTTGTTAAGTGAATCACTGTAGTTGTTAAGTTTGTAACATAGCTATTAAGTGAATCTGTCTTCCCCATTGACTTTGCTCATCAGAAGGTCGCAAAAGGGGGTCCCTTGACCCCCCGAAACGCTACAACCATCACAAATATGAGTCAGTTGCCAAGGTCAGAATTTTGATCATGTGATCACGGGGATGCTACAAGGGTTGTAAGTATGAAAAGTGGTCATGGGTGACTTTTGTCAGTGTCATTGTAACTTCAAACAGTTCACTAAGCAAACTGTTGTAAGTTGAGGGCTATCTGTAATGGAGAGATCAGAAACCTACTAACTATAAGCCTGCACAAGAAATACATCACAAGGAAGATGGGATATCAGTCTTCAGATAAACCAGTGGTAGTCAACCTGGTCCCTACCGCCCACTAGTGGGCGTTCCAGCTTTCATGGTGGGCGGTAGGGGTTTGCTGTAACTCTGCTTTATAAATTTTATAAAGTAAAGTTACTTCCCTGTTCTGTCCCCCCTTCTTCGCTCGTTAACAGACGACAGGCAGACAAACTTAAAAGGAAAGAACTTTATCAGTCCTCGGCTCTGACTGGCTGCGAGCCCCAAAATAAACATAAATAAAGTCTCTGACAAGATAACAGAATGCAAAACAAAACTCTTACAAAGCAATTCACTTCTCCAAGTGTCTCCTTGAATCAGGGTTACAGAAAGCAAATCACTTCTCCAAGTGTCTCTCACAAACAAACCACGACCGATGATCAATGAACGTTGAATGAACGTTGACTCCTGCAACCAGGGCGTGGCACCATCCGTCCTTTTATCACCAGAAGACGCCACTAACGAGCCCCAGCTGCATTGGTAATCTTGCATCCCGACTCAACTCACAGCAAACTTCTGCTGAGTCACAACACTTCCCTACTTTATAAATCACCATTACTGTGGAACCAGTGGGCGGTTAGAAAATTTTACTACTAACAGAGATACAAAAGTGGGCGGTAGGTATAAAAAGGTTGACTACCACTGAGATAAACTAACTATGTGAAAATACCTCTGTTTCATTATAGCTGGTATGCTAGAGGGGGGGCCAAATCCTATTTAAATGCAGTATAAGAGTTATGAGGCATCAACCAAGTTTCTATTACCAAAACGAATTAAGATTTTCCCTGCTAGCATTAAGACATATATTCATAATAGGATTTACCTGTACAAATGCAACACCAGCCATCAGAATCACTAATGAAAGCCATTGATATACACCTAATTTCTTATTGAGCATTGACACGGAAAACAATGCAGTTGTGAGGATTTTCAGCTGATACGTGACCTGAAAAGATAAAAGAAAAATAATAATAAAATAGTCCCTGATTTGATTTCTGAGTTTTAACAATAAGACACTATCACAATGAAGTACCTGGTAAGTGGCTGCGTCTAGATTTGATAAAGCAACATAGAGCAAGTTATTCTGTAGAGTGTAAATCCCAGAAGGAATAGCAAGTTTAAGAGTCTCCATTGGTTTATTAAGAATTTCATCATGTAACACCCTGTTCAGAGTTCGCAAGCTGCACTCTGTGCAAAGAGAAAATGCAATACATATTGTTGGTTAGAAGGAAGCCTATCCATTTTAATCACTTTTGTAGCTAAACATTTTAATGCTTTTGTGTGGAACATGCGATTTCTAAAGGGCTGGCATATATTAAACTTGTGAAGGACCTAGATTCCCCTCCATCTTGTCGCTATCTTTATTTCCTTAAATAATGAACATGAGCAGACACAGCGAGACCAAAATCTAGTAAATGGACTTGTGTTCCTATGGCTAAGTTGTATCTTCACCGTACAGTGGTGGGTTTCAAAAAATTTTGGAACCTCTTCTGTAGGTGTGGCCTGCTTTCCGGGTCCACTGGCGGAACCTCTTCTAACCGGTTCGGTAGATTTGACGAACCGGTTCTACCGAATAGGTGCGAACTGGTAGGAACCCACCTCTGTCACAGTATAACCTACAGAGTATACAGGTAATGCTCAACTTACAACTACAACTGGAATCGGAATTTTGGTCATTACGGTCGTAAGTCGAGTCACCACATCACCAGATCTGATTTTACAACCGTTTTTACTGCAGTCATATGTTGAGTCACTGTAACTGCGAGTTGAGTGATGCATTTTAAGTGCAAATCCAATTTCCACAATGGAGGGGTTTTTTTTAACCAGAATCCGTCAGAAATTGTGATCATGTGACTGAGGGACACTCAACAGGTTATAAATAGAAGTTAGTTGCCAGGTTCCTGAGCGGCAATCATATCATTGCAGGGTGTGTGTGTGTGTGTGATGTTGCAGCAGTCAGAAGTGCTTCACAGGCCATAAAGCTCTCTTTCTGGGGCTATTGTTAGTGCACACTTTTCAAAGCTCTTATTAATTCAAACTGTCATTAAGCAAGTGGTTGTAAATCAGGGACTATCTGTAGTATGAATTCCCAGAAAACATTACTATGTCATTCAAGGAACTGATGAATCAAATTTGAATTCCCTTCCTGGCAATTACTCTCCATAAACCCATGCATCCCTTCTGTAAATATTGTCAAGTTTAGGTAACTTAAATGTTTGCTATCTAAACCTCTTACAATTTCCAAGTCCTCTTTGTATACTTCTTTAATAAATATACTTATTTGGCCAGTGCATTTGATTTACTCCTGGGAAGGCGCCTTATTAACTCCTTGTAATATCTAAAGATAATGCTGAGATACTTACTGCTGTCTTTGTAAACCAACAAAATGCAAGCCGTAATTTTCAAAAGTTCAGCAATAACCACTGCAGTTGAAGACAAATAGCGAGGCCCTTCTTCTTTCAGTGTCCTGGAATATCGCATAGTCAACACCAAACTAGTGGTCTGAAAGACTAATATGCTCAAAGAAAGGTATTTTAAGTTGGTAGACATAGCTTGACAATCACCTTCCTGAAAAAGAAAGAGAGAAGAGCGAGAGAATTGTAGAAATTACTTTATCACGTGATATGTTCCCTGTAGAGAGCAGGGCCAGCATATAGCAGTAGCTATATGGATTCGATTCATGTGCCATGTTAAATGATTTAACTATGGTGTATGGAACTGTATTGAAACCTAAACCAAATAAATACCCTATCACTAAATATGCTGAATATTTGCTTTCTGGGTGTTAAATTATTAGTTATCTTTCCGAATAGATCTATGCAATTTCTGAACAAATGCATATTGCTGATTTATGATCTTTTAAGAAAAGTGAGGGGGATAATTCATACTTTTGGGGAGATTATCCATAAACTAATCTCCTCTATTCATAAAGATTCTTCTATACAGTATAGAAGGCAGCTCTTGCATATCATTTTAAGAATTGCAGTTTTAAAGTTACTGCAGCTTTTCCCAACATGTGCTTCATTTCTAATATAATTAAAGAGCTGTTACTTATGTCACAGGGGTAGAAATAGCAGCAACTGTTTGAAGAGAATGCCAACTCTACCCATATTGCTTGCTCCTAAACTTCAAGGCCTCAAATAGATTACCGTATTTGATACGGTAGTATCAGATATGGTAGTATTTGATTTTTGCCAGAGCAAAGTCCTGCCACTCCTAAAGGAATATGAAAACAGCTTGCTCTGAAGGAGTTAGGTCAGGGGTGGGATTGAAAAAATGTTAGCAAGCGGTTCTCTGCCTGGTTGCTGGGTGGGCGTGGCCATGGTGGGTGTGGCCTATTTGGCCTCCTGCACCATGGCCGGTGGTGGGGGATGTTTTCTCCCTCCCCAGGCTCCAGCGGGTTTCCTTGAGCCTCCGGGAGGGTGAAAATGGCCTCTCATGGGCTCCGGAGGCCGGAAATGGGCCTGTTTTTAGACCTCCGCTACTTCCAGTAGCCCTTTCCCCCCGTCACCAGGCTCCAGAGTTTTTCCCTGTGCCTCCAGGAGGGTGAACATTGCCTCCCACGGGCGCTGGAAGTGGAAATGGGCCCATTTTTCACCCTCCCAGAGCCTCCACGCAGGCTGACACCCAAAATGGGCCACGTGGAGACTCCTGGGAGGGGTGGGGAGGGATGGATGGGGCGCGGCCAGCCAGTCCTTGCAACAACCAGTTCACTGAACTGGATGCAAAATTAATACTCGGTTCATCCAAACCGGTACAAGCCAGCTGAATTTCATTCCTAAGTTAGGGTACTTACTAGTCCTCTCAGTACTATTTGCTCAGGAAAAGAAATCAAAACCTATAACGCTTACGTAAGTTATCTCTCTCTGACCTGTTAAGGTGGAAAAGCAAGCAAGGGAAAAAAAATGTCTGGTAACGAAGTGTAGGTTTAAAAAAAAAAACAGGAAAAAGGAAAAATATTCACCCTTTGAAAAATTTATCAGCAAAATCATCTGCGGTCTCTGGACATTTGTTTACTCTTGCTAAATGTATCTGTTGTCTGCTAAATTGCACAAAATCTGAACTAACCAGTTTCACTTCAGGAAGGGAGAAACACATTTTTGAAGGTGGCTCTCTGGTGTTGAAGGAAACTATTGAATGTTAAGATTTTTATTTATTTATGCATGTATTAAACAAATTTGTATAACCACCCATCTGTCAAGAAGATAGATATGTTCGTTTCGCCCATCCTTTGTTGCCACCAGAATGAATATTTTGATTTCCAGTTTAGATCAGGCGCCAAGAACTAAGATCCGAATGGAAACTCCACATATGCAAAGCCAAAGGCAGTTAAGTTAGGTTCCACCACAAAACCGCGTTCGACTAAAGGGCGCTCGATGAAACCGCGTAGCTGACGTCATCACAGCGCGACAACAGCGTGAAGAAAAAAGCACGTGGTAAACGCTAAACCTAAAATTAACCCCTAAACCTAAAACTAACCTCCCTAAACCTAATCCTAAACCTAACCCTAACTCTTAACCTAACCCTAAACCTAACCCTAAACCTAACCCTA